TGGCGCGTGTCCCGGTGCTGCAGCGCCAGAGGCGCGCTCTATGGGCAAGCGGGCAAGCTAGAGGCGAGCGGCGGAAAGGCCGTGCGTTGCCCCCTCCCCCTCCAAGCGTACCAGCTTGTTCTCTCGACCGTCTATCGGCAGCCGCGGCAGGTCTGTGCGTGTTTGCGTTGGCAGTACTCGCAGTTCGAAATCACATTTCTTTAAACTTCAAAAACTCGGGACAAATATTATGATTTCATGGCTCCACGAGCAGGGAGAAGTGATGTTTGGAAATATTTTGTGAACATTGATTGCAAGAAAGCAAAATGCAAGACTTGCGGTGAGGTCGTTCCTCGACCGGGAACACGAAAAATCTGTGGAACCATGTCCAAAGAAGACATAAAGAAATACTGCCGAAGCAAACAGAACCAGCAAACGAGGTGGAACATCTACTAGCTGAGGTGAGTTTTGAATCTCTTCGCAGCTAAATCGAATCGAAAATAAGTAAAACAGTGTTCGTACAATAACCTCTCAATAAAGTCCACTCAATGCGGTCGCGCCCGCACAGAGCTAGACATTAGAAATTTCCGTTCGGCGTTATTTATAGGGGCAAATAAAAGTAAACGTTGCTCATTTTTCATGGGAGAGGAGGGGGCGTTAACGTTTATTTACCTCCTTCGACGGATTTTTAATCGTCATTGTTTACACAGGGTTCCGAAGATGACCCTGGTCTCCCCGGCCCCAGTTCAGCTGCAGCTCCAGCTGCCGCTGCAGCATCAGGAGCACCGGCGGCGGGGGCATCAGGTGGATCGAGGAAGCGATCTAGCTCAAGCTCCTGCACCACGCCAAATACTCCCAAGCAAATGACTTTGTCCAGGTCCTTTGAGGCGGCTTCATCTTTGAAAGGTTCGGTCGATTTATGAGAATTGTGTTTTACCCTATCAAAAACTAGTGAAAATGATGTTGTTTTTTACAAATTGTAGATCCCGACGGTATGAGGAATTTGGCGTTAAGGGAAGCTCTCCTCTACATGATTTGCCGTGACAACATGCCACTCCAGACCAGTGACAAGGAGGGGTTCCGCAACTTCTGTAAAGTCGCTGTGCCGTTGTGGAAGCCACCGTCGAGGGGTACAGTGACTACACTTCTGGAAGAAAAATACCTGAAATGCTCTGCTTTCGTGAGGGATACCATTGCGGAGCTGGATGCGTACTGCATGACAGCCGATATCTGGACGGAGAAGCACACTGTGAAGAGTTACCTTGGCGTCACACTGCACTTCTTCGACAGCAAGAGCAACGCTATGGACTCCTTCCGCCTGGGGCTCGTCCCCCTGGCCGGGGCCCACACCGCAGCCTACGTCGGGGAGCACCTGAACAGCGTGTGCTCCGAGTGGGGCATCATCAAGGAGCGCGTGCAGCTCTTTGTGACTGACAACGCGGAGAATATGAAGAAGGTTGTAAATGACAACTTTAGGGCCGGGACGTGGCAACCGTGCTTTGCTCACACTCTAAATTTATGCGCCGACGCCCCTTTCAAGAAAGTGAAGGTAAGGCCTTTATCAATCATCCGGGTTTAGATAAAAGCATAAGTGCTGAGCTTTAATTTTGTGCATTTTTTGCAGGACAGGAATGGTGTGGTAAAAGACGCAGTACCGGGTCTTGACGCGCTCATTGCTAAAGCAAAGAAAATAGTTACCTACACTAAGCACAGCGTGAAGACTACAGATGAAATGCGCAGAATTCAGATGGAAGACTACAACCGATCTGAAGGGACATGCCTGAAGCTACAGCAAGACGTCGCGACTAGGTGGAATTCCACCTACCTTATGCTAGACCGCTTCCTTGAAATGTCCGATATTGTGAGCGCCGCACTCCTCAAAGCCAAGGATGCGCCCGACATGCTCTCTGGAGCTGAAATGTTTACCTATCGTTCGTTGCTTAAGATTTTCAGACCTTTCTATCAGATAACGCTTGAACTATCGGGGCACAAAGTTCCGACGGCGAGCAAGGTTGTGCCACTCATCCACCTTGCAAATGAAGTAAGTCAACGCGTCGATCTCTGATATCGTAATGTAGACTAGATTTGCAATTATTTTATCCGTTTTATTGCAGGCACTGTCAAGAGTCGACCCAGGGACTGACGCCATCGCCAAGGGCACCAGGGACGTTCTGCTCGGAGCCATGAAGCACTATTTCGAAAATATTGAACGGGTGAAACCATACATTATGGCCACTTTCCTCGATCCTAGGTTCAAAGACATGCATTTCTCGACTATCGTCAAAAGCTCTGAGGTTATCTCTCTCGTAGAACGTGAGCTCAAGGAAGTTTTGAGAGGGGAGAAGAACCGGCGGGAGGCCGAGGTACTAGCCATGCAGGCCGGCGCCCGAGAGGAAGTGACAACTGATCCAGACAATCTTTGGGCACTCCACGACTCCGCCGCCGCCAGTCGGACGTCGTATGGGGAAGATGAAACTGTCGGCCTCCCCCTGCAACTTCGGGAGTACAAGAGGAAGTCTGTGCTCAGCAGGGAAGGCGACCCCTTTCAGCAGTGGGCAGTACTGAAGGAGGACACCCCCGAGCTGTACACCGTGGCGCTGAGATACCTTGACTCTTATCTCTTCCTCAGTCGCCTCGGAGTCATACTTCTCCCTCGCGGGCTCAATCGCCTCACCCAAGCGAAGCCGGCTGACTCCTCACCATCTCGCAATGATTGCTTTCCTAGGTTCCTTAGACATTAAATACTGGCACGCCGTCGAGTAGACCGTAGGAATATGTAGCAGTTACCTAATAATTTTGGTCTAGTCTATTGTC